CCTCTCAGATTTTCTTGTTGCACTCACACAATATTCACTCGCGAGAATGATTAACTACGATCGCGCGAAATTTCGTGTGACACTCCCGTATGCGACGTGAAATACCGTAAAACGCACAAAGTTCCGCCACGCAAATCATTCAACTCGCACGTTATTTTGCATTCTCGATTCGAAAGTAACGACGAATAAATCACTTTTACGATATAAAATGCGACGCGAATGTCGGAATCAAAGCATCTGCTGTAAAGAAGTAGTTATTAATCCGCGACGAAACGATATTTTACAATTCGAACTGTCAAACAATCTAATCCTTACGCGTAATGAATTGTACGAGCTAAGCACTCGCTACGATCAAATCTATTAATTGTAACAATTCACTAAGATAATTCTTGATTACATTTCGAGCTATAACGCAGCGACTTTCTCTACTTTCTGCCTGTTTCAGCTACGAAGTATAACGGAACGAAATGCAGCAAACAACGCAAATACTAAAGCCGTACACTAACAAATTTCTCTATCGGTTCTCGAAACTGAAAGACAGAATGCACTGAAATCGACAGATAATTCAAAGCGCGACGCGTAAACGAGATGTAATCACGATAAAGTATCACGATTTACATTCATATTTTATTAGACAAGCTAGTCTCGTGAAATATCTGTGTACGTTGACAAAGAGCCGTCGCCTCAACATATAATTCGTTTCTCTTTACAAGTTGTAGAAACTTAATAATTCATCGATGAACGTTACTTATTACCGATAAGGGTGTACAAATTAATAGAGTTTTATTCCCGTACTCAGGGCGCGATCGCGTTTCGGAAATTGATAACGTAAAAGTAATACGACGCACGGAGCGACTTTCGACACTGCCTGCCGGCTCGAGGTTCGGCGAGCGAATGATTGCGCGACGACCTTGCCGTACACAATAGCGGGGGGGAAAGTCGCACGATTCCGCGCGGGCACAGCAAAACAAACACGAACGTTGAGAATTCGTTATCCCGCCTACGAAATATGAAATAAATAAATGTTAAAAATTCTATACTTAATATTCTTTCTCTCTCTCTCTCTCTCTCTCTCTCTCTCTCTCTCTCTCTCTCTCTCTCGCTCTCTCTTTCAAATTACTTCGTTTAGCGATTGTTACTATAGGTACGTTTTACATATCACTTTCTGTGGATAATTAGTATTGCTTATGGTAACGATTGACTCTGTTCGATCGAGAAATTTTTGAGAAAGTGTTGAAACGAAAATCGTTTCTTAAAGTTTAATCACTTAGGGATGTTGCATTAATTTAGTTAATGTACGTAAACGTATACTCAAAGTAATGTGAAACCAGTAATGGCGACGCAGGAAGTAGGGTGCCCTCTTGCCTCTGTAAGAAATCGCACTCGATTCAATATTTTGTGTATTATTCCGCGCTTTCAACTTAGAAGCGCAGCCAACAAATTGTACTCGAAACAAGAGATTCAATGCGACGATACGAGATGTATACGAATACGAACATCGTTTAAAGAAACAATTATCGTCCGTTGTTAACGCAATGAGGTAATTTCAAGTTAGCTGATGAGTTTTGGACGTATAGATTTCATGTGTGAATCGCGCGAGATATCTGTCTTGCCGGTTAACCGAGCATCGATAGCAAATCGCCAGGATTCAGCGATCACGCGATGATATTGATCGCGGATTATTCACAGGGAACGATCGCGGTTTCTTCCCGTACTAGTCGCGAACGCGTATCAAAAAAGAATAATATACGATATGCGGAGCGGCGGATATCGACGCGGAATTTCGGGACACCTTCAACGAATAATTTTACGAAATCAAACTGTTGCTCGATAGAAAAACGTGTGAATGACTACGAGGTACGTAGATCGCGCGATTCGTGCAGTTGAGGACCCGAGTCGAAATTTTGGCCCTATGTTGAACCTTCAATTCTATTGTATAGTAGGACCTAAGACAGTAAAGGAGGTCGAACTACAAGTACAAAATTTACTCCCACTTTGAAACTGATAGTGTCGGAAATTTCTACTTTTGCCAATTTAGCATTAAAGTAGGTCCTTTTAAGTAGGAGCTAAAGTAAATTTGTAGAATTAAAGATTCAAGGGGGGATTAAAAAATATAATGTTATTCAAAGTAGGTTATTGCTCGTCTATGTAGGTGAATAGATCAGCTAAGTAGGTGTAAATTATCCTTAAAAGAGTCAAAATAGTATCAAAATTTCGACTCGGGGATGCACGTGTAACGCGAACTTGTAACGGAGCGCCGCAAGATCCGGAAACGCAGTCGAGGGATGTGACCTACTAAAGAATGGACGTTCCCAGGGCATACCGTACACATGGGGCGTTACGATTTAGACGTCGACGTATGAAATGAGGCACACGTTGCGGAATTTTGCAGTTCCATCGCTACCGCTCCCCCGCGGACCGCCCTTCCTTCACACGGGATCGCATCTGCGGATGCAATAAGTTGCGTTGGCTCTCGTATTTCTCTTCGGCTACCGCCACGCCGGGTAGCGTCGTGCATTATCATGGTAAGGACCGGGGTCCGACGGCATTCTACTGGAACCACCTTGACGCGCGCGAATTGAAGCCTCCCGCGTACCATCGGCGATCGATTTGTTCCGGACGTCCGATACCGGCGATCCTTATAAAAGAATTTTCCTTAGCGCGCCGTTCTCCAATGAAAGATGCGGGACGTTATCTTCATACCGAGTTAAATGGCGCGGAACGTTCGAGCTTGCAAAATATAATCGAATACTGCCCTTTGATAGCCGATTTTAGAGAAACTACAACTCGCAGATCCAAAATACAGCTGATGTTACTCTGGGAAAGAAAAGACAGTTAGCAACCCATTTTGGGGCCCACAATTAGTAATCGAATTATTTGGATTGTTCGTAACACACTCTACCTTGGGAAAAATTTTGACCGTTGATTTTTGTAGTTAAGCAACTTAACATTTCGGTTAGTGCTTCTTAAGAGAGAATTGATTAGTATTACTTAAAAATCTTGGATATAGATAGAATAGCTAATTGCGATTTTTAGTTACGCGGGGTAAAATTCGTAAAAGATTAGAGTGTTACGAACAATCCAAATAATTCGATTACTAATAATTGTGGGCCCCAAAATGGGTTGTCTTCTTTTCCCCGGAGTATCGCACATTAAAATGATAACACGGGGTATATATCAGCGTGTTGCAACGATGATACGCAGAATATTGCGCTAATACGCCTGCGCAAAACTTTGGCGATGTTTAAATAAGATTTCCTGCTACGGGCATCAGACGTAGTGGATACATTTAGTATGTTATTTGACTAGCGTCTCCTACCGTCTTGTCGGATAAACGACCACGGTGCGCTGTAAGATTTGTACTTGTCTTATGCAAGTGCCAGAATCTTCGCACCGTAAATTAACTAGCAACGTCTTGCGGCTAAAAGCGTTTGTTTTCGTTGCGGTTTTCATACACGGTGTATTCGCGAAAATGTGCGCTAAGGCGCGCTAAAGTTTCGTTCTGAATTTGCGCGTGGCAATAAATCCGTGTTAACGTAAGCAAGACAATGTAATATAGTGTGCGAGTTGCGGCACGCTATTTCGCATTTCCGCTCTCATTCGCGTCCGATGAACTGTGAGATACATAAAGAGCAATAAAATAGATGGAACTGACGTTTTCACGGTTTAACGCGTCTAATTCGACTGCTCGTATTCGCGAAACTTTTGCTTTACGGTCTATTGGATTTGAGCGCGGGATACATGGAAATAACGCAGGAATTCACAATGCATCAATAAGAATGCAATTCTAGCAAACTTTACAATATTTTAACATCCGAGTCAAATTGGCACGGAAATCACGGGCGTCTGAATTATGCGAAATACGTATATCCGAACAAATTTTTTACACCTTTGTTTTTCCAGTTTCTATTTTGTTGTATTTTTTTTAAATAAAAAGATAAAAATACATTTTATACTAGTTTCATTTCCATTCTAGATTTTCTTTTGATAAATATTGTACGATTAATAATACCAAATAAAATGAAAAGGACTTGTGGTATAAGAACAGCGGCAATAATTATTCCGTAAAAAACTTCACATATAATTTACGACTGTGCTACAAATTTATGAAGATACGTATATCTGTTTCTCTCTCCTCTCACTAACCGTTATCAGAAATCGGTTTATGGTATGTCAATTATTTGCTCTCGAGCAATGGTAAAGCGAGAAATGATATGCCTGTCGATATTTCTGGTCTCCCTATTCCCATTTATCTTCTTTCCCACTTTCTTCTCTTTGCCCCTTGTTCTAGCTATTAACCGTTATCGAGACGATTCTTATCACACGAGAGAGGAACTCGTTAGCGCACGAAGACCATAAATCGCGGATGGGAAACAACGGAGTTCCGTTTGGCTTCCACGAATACGGGAGGGGCCTGCCTAAATCCCCTATCGGAAGCATCTCGATAGTTATCAAAGGTCGTTTGATATCATTCGCATTCTCCATTAATACCCTCTACGACCATACGTAAGTGGTATAACTGTTCGTGTAAATAGAAAGATTGCTCAAGATTATTCCTGGACGATTAATGAGCACTAAAACTATGCAATTGTTCCTGTAGTTACACAGTTTAACGTATAAAAAGCTTCGCACGAGGCTTTTTATATTAATAAACTAAAGTGAATACTATTGGCAATTTTATTATTCTGGAAAACTCTTATCTTAATTGTACGTAATTGTAAGTAACACCGCGAAAGAGCATTTTACACGTATTCATGAGTTTTAAAAGTGTTCGTCGTTGTCGCTCCCGGTCTTATTATTGGCAATGCGATCGAGGACGATCGTTAATCACGGTAATTTGTTTAACGTGTCAATTGATTATCGACTCAAGTCGACCAAACGCGGGACCTCCTGAGGGGTTTTCTGAAAGCGAGGGGATTCAGGCCGCACGGCGCGCTCGCTTTTTCACGATGCCGTTGCATTTTTCCGGCGAACGGACGTTGAAGAGGAGCATCGCTTACCGATCGGCTGTATCAGGTAGCGCAGCGATGCCAGCAACGGCAGGATCAATAGAAACGGGGCCATGACGGCTTCGATTCAGACGTCCATCTCGCGTTCATTCACGAGGCCGGTCTGTAACAGAAAAAAAGCGCACGCAACCGTATTAATAGCCCGCCGCAGTCTTCCCGGCGCTGAATGCGCTGCAATGGGCTCTTCATGTCGCGGAAACTGGCGTTCATTATTTCGATAATCGATCAAGTATCGTCCCGGACGGACGAATCAATTCATCCGTTCCCATTTCGCGCCAATAGCAAGCATCTGCCTTTCATCCTTTATCCACTTTCCTGTCAGAAGCATTTATTGCATTTTTGTTGTGCCATTTTGCGGACACAAAGAGCCCCTTGCCCGTTAAAGATGAAACTATCTTTCATTTATGACGAGATTCAAGCTGATTCGAAATTTACATTAACTCCAATTTTCTATTATCTTTTTGTGATACTACTGCAAAATATAGTGAACATATATTTTTCAATAGTTGCAAATAATATTATTGCAATATTATAAAATAATATTACAAAATATATTCGATAAAACACAAAGGCAATAAGAGTCGACGCAGGATGTCAGTAGCGAATAAATAAACAAAACAGTTTAATGTATAAAATTATTTAAAGAACAAGTCAAACGTTTCGATCATCTTACGTGATCCTCCTCAGTAACATATAGTATAAATAAGATAAAATTAAATATATCGCAGATAAAAAGTTTACATAAATCTTAATAAAAAGCCGAATATTAATTTAGAATAGGTGAACATTGCAACAACTAAACAAACAAAATATACTATATGTATAATAAGTATTTAATTTATACATTTTGTATTTATTAGATATTTAAGTAAAATATCTTAAATTTTACTTATAAATTCACATCTCCTAATAAATATTTTCGTAAGATACTTTAGATTTCATAACACAATTGCCGATATAATAGTGATTTAATCCTATTAAAAACCTGCAAGTAAATTTTATGTCGAATATTTATACTTAACAGTTCAACATTTTCGAGAGTTTTATGCACTTATATTTATGCATGCGATATTCACCAAACTTTTGCAGTTTACAATTAATTTTATAGTTCGTAGCTATTTCCTGGATATGCAAACATCACATACATACATGCTGATACTATCTGTTTTTTATTCTGGCAGTGATATTTGCCGAGAAGGCATTCGCGCACGGTGAACTTTTCCAACTATGTAAACTCTCATAAAACTAGCGGTTTTTAATGGTTGGCAATAGGCGGGGAACAAAATGGAAGCTTACTCGCAATGCACTCGACTGCGCCGCACTCGAGGCGACACAGGGGGGCTTTCTAATGTGGATCATGTTCAAAGTCATTATTAGCTCAAAGGAGAAGAGGGCCACCGCGGAAGAGAGAACAAAAGGCGAATGAGGAGAATAATGGAGGCAAAGAGCTTTCCAACAAGCCTCGTTATATCCGTGGGCTACGTATGCCTTTGCCAGAATTATGGTTGATACTCGTCACTGCGGCATCGACTGCGGTTACGCAGCGAATGATGGATAATCAATACGTACAAAGATTTTTAGATTCACTCGCCGTCAGATTTATTCAAGCAAGCTGCGTTGGTATTTAAGTAGAAGTCCTCCCGAGTCGAAATTTTGGTACTATTTTCATACTTTTAAGGATAATTTACACCTACTTAGCTGATCTATACACCTACATAGACCAGCAATAACCTATTTTGATGACATATTTTTTTACTCCTCTGTTGAATCTTCAATTCTAAAAATTTACTTTAGCTCCTACTTAAAAGGACCTTTAATGTTAAATTGGCAAAAGTAGAAATTTCCGACACTATCAGTTTTTAAGTAGGAGAAAATTTTGTACTTGCAGTTCGATTCCTTTTACTGTCTTAGGTCCTACTATGTAATAAAATTAAAGGTTCAACGTGGAATCAAAATTTCGACTCGGGCTTGGTTTTGAAATTTCACACCGATATATGTCGCAGCCATAGATAACCGATCTCGTAACTGAATACGTATCGATGGCATCAATGACACTATCAAATGAAACAAAGTAATAAATGAAAATCCATGCGAGTTCGCGTTATCGATATGTATCAATTTGCATACTGACCAATTAAATTAAATGTACAATATCATTGACAAATAAAAGTTTTAGTTACGCTCTCTAAAAGTCAGTCAGTGAATTATCACTGAAAACAGTGAATAGTCACTGATTTTTGTAAGTATACTACTGAAAATTGCAGTGGTATACTTATAACTGTAAATCAGTAACTATTCGCTGTTTTCAGTGATAACTCACTGATTGACTTTTAGGGCGAATTTCAGAAACGTCGGTTAACTGTTAACCAGAGTTCAGTCAACTTCCTATCTTTTTCTATTTTGTTATCTTAAAAGAGACAGAGAATCAATTAACTTTCGGTTAGCAGTTGACTGACGTTTGTGAAACTGGCCCTTATTAGAGATCGAATCTTCCTAGATTTAATGTTGTACGCAGAATCAGCTATTTACCAATTGTAAATAAAAATTATAGACTTAACAGATATACAGGGTGTCGGATTCGATTTGGCCGACTTCAAAGATTATAGTAGATTGGGTCAAGCTGAGAAGAAAAGTTATATACCATTTTACAAAATCCGTAATTATTATCGCGTAATTAAGAAAAACGTCTGAGCCAATAAGTGCACAGAGGAGCTGAAGGCCGGACTCAGCAGACATGCAAAATGGTGTAATATTCTCCTACCACCAGAAAAACTTTTTCGGCGCGGTGTCATATGTCGCGCGTTCGCTCGCTGCGCGCCGTTCGCCCGCTCACCGCTCCCCGCTCTCCTCCGTCTCTCATCGATCGATGCGTGACTCCACCTCTCGCTATCGGATCTTGAGAGATGTCAACAAATACACCATTTTGCATGTCTGCCGAGTCCGGCCTTC